CCCCTCCATTACTCGACACACGCTCCGAAGACTCGATACAGAACGTCCCATCACTACTTAACAGTATTATGTGTAAACACACCACTGTTTACTTTAGCTCTACTACATTATGAAGTATACGATGTAAATTATATTGTTCTTCTGATGGTTGAACCACAATATTGCAGTTGTATTCAAAAAATATTAGATGTGTAAGAAGATATTAAAAATGAGCTCAGTCTCTGCCTATTACAGCACTACATGCCAGATAGTTACTAGTACATATGCAATAGAATAAGATGTATCACAGTACAGCTCTGTGTGTTTCTTGAACCCTAGACTAGCTTTGCATGATTCACAGTTAAAAATAAGTCACATTTACCTAAAACTTTAGGGACTTCTCATGCATGCGCTAACCTCATTATTTGAATCTGTGGCCGTGTTTAATTTGAGAATCCACCCCTGTAACAGTAGTCTCATTGCACATGTGCATACTTTAAAATGATGATATGAGTATATGCAACATTTGTATGTATATGTGACATCCTTCAACGGAAGGATAAGAAAGAAGATCATTAAAGGTCTTAAAAAGTCTTGCACTGTGTTTTGGGAGATTTATTTCTGCTGGTTCTTTGTTGTTCCTTAAAACAGGTGCAGGGAACCAATGACAGCAGTGTGGTGAGCAAAGTGTCTGCTGCAGCACAGGGCTACTTCAACGACGCCTTCCTTCAACACTTTGTGTGCAAAGTGGCCAGGAGAGCGCCGCTTATCAACAGGTCAGGTATTGTTTTCTCTTCTTTCATGCACCTTGGATGTATGTGGTGATGGTTTACTCTATAAACAAAATTTATACAGTAAGCAGCAGCAATAGAATTACTCTCATGTGCATGGGAGGTGATGCACACCACATGTATGTATGTAGCTGGCAGGGGGTACTGGGTAAAAATGTCTTGTATAAATTAAAGTTTCTTTGGATGTTTCAGGGGCTATTATGTGCGCTGGAAAGCTGTGGACCACTGTGTGAGGAAATTCCTTCAGATTACAGAAAAATGCCCTGAAAGACAGGTAAGCTGTCAGCGTATCGTCCAATCAGTCTTTCTGGAAGCAGGTCACTTGTAATCATGTAATACCTCTTGGCACTTACTAGAGCAGTTATTTTAAATCATTATCCAGAGTAGTGGTCATTTCACTGATCAAAGGAAAACAAAAAGTGTCTATAGAATCTGAGTCAAATATGATTTAAAAATGCACAATGTTCACTGACTTAATGTTTAAAAAGCTTTTTCTCTTTAAGGCTGCTATCATCTTCCATGTTACCAAATGTTCCCATCTTTTGTATAGGTTTCCATTCCGATTGGTGTCTTTATTTTTCAACCTCACTTCCCTGGTTTAGATCTTGTCTTTGGGTGCGGGCTTCGACTCTTTGTATTTCCGCCTACGTGGAGATGGAGCTCTGAGCGGGGCTGTTGTGTTTGAGGTAGATTTTCCTGATGTCTCTCAGCGCAAGGCTGCCCTCATCACTTCTAATATAACACTAAGGGGGATGATAGACTCCCAGTCACTGTCACTTACAGGTTTGTCTTTTTTTTCTTGGTAGTGGTTTAAAAAAATTATTTGTCAGGTAAAAGATGTAAGAGGTTAGTATGGCATAGTTTAGTTTGGTGAATGGCTGCTTGTGTTTCTTCAGGACCTGTCTATGTGTCCAGCAGTCAGTACCGTCTGTTAGGAGTGGATGTTAGAGAGGAGTCCAAGGTGGAAGAGGCTCTGCGTGTAGCTGGGCTGGACTGGGCTGCCCCTACCCTGATTCTTTCTGAAGTGGTGCTCACCTACATGGAAACACAATGGTGCAGTAATGTATAAAATGTGAACTAGAGATGAATTTGCATACACTTGGGCGTGTAACGCTAGTTAGATGATGGCAATATGTGATCAAAGCAAATCACATTTAAAGCCGTTGGATGTTGTGTGTCTTTCAGGTCTGATGCCATCATTGGTTGGGCAGCAAAGCTCCTGCCACAGTCTCTCTTTGTTATGTATGAGCAGATCCATCCGCACGATCCCTTTGGTCAGATCATGCAGGAGCATTTCCAGAAACTCAATTCAACTCTGCATGCACTTCGACAATACCCAGACACCGCCGCACAAAGGCACCGCTTCCTGGACAAGGTCAGTACACAAGCTATACACAAGACACTTCCTGTATCTTTTCACTTCTTTGAACAAGCACAATGTAACATACCTCAGACCCAGGTACCAATTGAATAAAAAAAAAACACAGTCGAGGCATATTCAAAACGTCCCTGTTCCTCCTGTGAAGGTTAAATATATGGCGTCTTTGTCTCCAGGGCTGGGAGGAGTGCGTGTGCCTGGATATGAATAATTTCCTCTTCGGGCTGGTCCCTGAGGAGGAGAGATGCAGATTGGAGAGCCTGGAGCCTTTTGATGAATATGAGGTCAGCTGGGTCTCAGCGTTGCATCTTCTATAAAAGTGTGCACTACTGATCAGAAGAGCTCACTTGATTTGGTTTGGATGACACATTTTGTCATTTATCACTAAACCGCTGCTGAAAGTTTATTTATTGTTGTGACCTTTAGAAAACCTCTTTTCCAATTAATGTTAGTACAGCTGAAAACCACAGTGCTTATTCAAGAAGCGATCTGTGTTTGTAGTTGAATGTCAGCCTCTGTGGGGAGGAGTGCACACAATGAAGATGTTAGGATTATTTGACTCTACAGTTTCCAACTATGAGGGGAGAGTGTGTCCAGTCTGGCCCACTCTCTGTGGTTTTTGGGAACCCTTATGGATGGCATGCTGGAGCAATGGTTCATTCTTTCACCTCACCATAAAATGCTCTAGTTTTGAACCCGGGCACTTTCACACTGGCTTCACTCTGCACACCTGAAAGCTACACCCGTCTTTTATTTTGTCTCTCACGTACCACTTACTTTTTACCTTCATCATTTGTAATATAAGTATCTTTGAACCTGCTATTAAACAAAGAGTAAAACAGTCAACACAGTAGCTAACATCAAAATCATTCAATGATTGTAGAAGAAGAGCTTTATGGAAAAGTTACAAATGAAATTTATAAAATTTGGTGTTAGTTCAAATAAAGAATATATAAAACATCATTTTATTTTTTGGCACAACACCAGAACGACTGCAGGTGTCCATAAGTTGCAGTTGCAGTACTTCAGTATCTAGCTAACATCATAAAGGGAATAATAATTTTTAAGAGGCAGTTAATTTCAAATGCAATATAAAAATGGCCAACTGTACACATACAAAATGATATACAATAAATGATGACAATAAATAATGAAAAGTGAGTGATTTAAAAAAAAAAAAATCTGCTTAATTTCATGTTAGTGTTAGTGCGTCTAACCTGTGGGCATAGTGTACATTCTAACACTGACTCCTCACCTGTCTGCTCTCAGGAGTGGCACCAGAAATGTTCCCATTACTTCATCCTTACTGCATCTCGAGGCTCTTTGATGGCACAGGCTTTACTCCCTCGAGCTCCAGGTAGCTTTCACTTTCCACTCCTCGACTTGACACTAACAAGCATTTGAAATGGGACGTTCTGTATGCATGTTGAAGTTGTGTTGTTGCTTTAGAATCTCCTGTGCCATCTGTTGGCCCTTCTTGGAGCACAACAGCCCTGAGTGTTCGGACCACACCGGTATGCGTGGAGGGGCTGGGGATGGCTTCTGCGTCAGTGAGGCCAGGGTGGGTCCTGCTAACAGGAGGCTCCAGCAGAGGAGGCAGAAGAGCAGCGATCAGACTCCTGCTCAGAGAACAGGAAGGCTGGAGGTCCGTCAGTGTGGAGCCATCAGCAGATGTTGGTGAGGGTTTTTTTTTCTTTGGGGTGAGGGGCAGCCGGACTTGATTTAGCCAGGAAAAGTTAGTCATTTTCCCTTGTTATCCCAGGTGTGCGACTTTACCACACAGTTACCCCTATACCTGGAGTGGGTGCTGTGGTATTTGGAGGTCGCTCCTCTCCACTCAACCCGGTCAGAAGCCTTTTCAAAATGACCTTTAGCCTCTGTGGTGCTCTGGAGTCAGGGGGCCAAGATGCACCGAAGCTTTGTATGGAGGAGATGATGTGTACAGGCAGTCCACCACCGCCAAGATGGAGGCACTCTGCTACCCTAACCAGACACAGAGGTGAGGGAAAACAGGAAGTCTTGTAGGATCCTTTTGCCTCACACTCTTTCTTTTTTTTTTTCTCTTCCTGTTTGTAGCTTTTTCTTTCTTTTTCTCTTTTTTCATTCCATTTGTTCTTTTGCTTTATGCTTTTCTCACATCTTTGCTTCGCCTTCTCTCTGCCAGTCTTTTATCCCATCCCTGCTTTTTCGTTACACACTGACTCCCTGTCACATCTCTGCAGGCAGAGAGTTTGTGTTTGTGTTTGGTGGAAAGAACCAATCAGGGGCAGTTTTGGGTGACGGATACTTCCTGAGTGTCGACCAGCAGCACTGGACTGAGGTTTGCTTGTTGTTACAATTTTAAACCCAGATTCTTAATGTTGCACGCACAAGTTTATTATCACATCACACAGGGCCCGTATGCATATAAACCTCCACATATTAGATATGTAAGGTATATTTTGAAGGAGTCATTTAGTAGATTTCAAGAATACAAGTATGGAGCAAGAACATAACGTGCACATGACTCATACATGACCACTGGGTGTCATTTACAGATCCCAGTAGAGGGTGTAGCACCAGAGGCTCGTCACTCTCACTCTGCATGCTCATATAAAGGTGGTGGTGTGGTGTTTGGAGGGCTGAGCAGAGCAGGAGTGCCCCTGGATGACATGGTAATCCTGACACCAACTGAAAGAGGCTTCTGTTGGGAGAGAATAGATGTACAGCCCCCTCCTGTACCCAGGTCTGTTGTGCCTCAGACACCATAACCAAACTCCAAGTTTCTGCTAAAGAAACTCTTTGATGAGATTTCCATTGTGTGCTTCGTTTTAGATACTCTCACTGTGCCCATGTGAGTGGTGAGAAGCTGGTTGTGGTAGGTGGAGTCTGGCTGCATTCAGACGGCGTGCCAGGCGTTGTTGTGATCAACATCACCACGTGCAGCAGTATGGAGTACAGTCTGGACACGGTTAGTGATCATTTATTGCACTTATAGTTATTCTAAAGGAAATCTAGCACCAACCAATGTTCTCCATCGACCTCAGGCCTTAAAGCCTCCAGGTTTTTTGCTTAAAAACTAGCACTGTTCCACTTCTGTATGCAGGAAAAGCAGAACTGAATTATCCGATGTTAATTACTAATGTATGTCCTGTCATGTGTAGACCTCAGTGCCCTGGCCTCTGATGCTCCACTCATTTTGCTCTGAGATGACGGACTCAGAAGATCCAGAGCTGCTCTTGATAGGTGGAGGAGGAAACTGTTTCTCTTTTGGGACTCACTGGAACCCTCAGCCTGTCACTGTGGACCTCAAACTCATGCTGGGCTGAATCAGCCTTGAGTATTTCCAAAATAAAGTACCAAAGGGTGGACTTATGTCAAGTCTGTTGAAGGGTCCAGACAAGTGCCTGCTTCCTATTGTAATTTTCATAATTATGTAAGAAAACCTCTCATATTGACCGAGCAGCAACCTCCAGGGTGCCGAAGCAGAAGTGCCCGAAACTGTAGTTCCTCTAGTGGCCACTCGAGGCAGAGACTCCCATATTATAATGTTCAACTTTACAGCAGAAATAAACATTTCTACAACCTGTTCCAGAGATATGTTTTGTCTTTATAACTTATTTCTTCCTTTAACTATACAGACCCCATATATAATTTAAGGGGTTTCAGGGCTGTGACTGACTTGCCCATAGCTGCTAGCTGTCAACAAAGTGCTTTCTCATAGGGGGTCATATGATTGTTGGGTTTTTCTCTGTATCTATTATTGTACGATCTACTGTGCATTATAAAGCGCTTTGAGGCGACTGTTGTTGTGATTTGGCGCTGTATAAATAAAATTGAATTGAAATATAATACGACTTTAACAGCCTGCTAGAAGTCTGTGTATTTTTTTTATTTTTTATATATTGCTGAAATTAGCATGTTGCAACAGTTTGATAGATTGGTATGAAGTGATGATCTCCGAATGGACGGGTGGGTTTTTAAACTAACTTTCACCACCAGGTGGCAGCATTTCTTCAGTGGATGCTTGAAATGTTTTTAGATGTTTCCTGTTTTTTTTTTTGTTTGTTTGTTTATTTTTTTGTCTATCATTTAAAAAAAAATTGTGTTGTTAAATAACGGTTGGAGAGATTTGCCGTGACAGCGTGTCCCACCTGTCGCAGGGCGAGAGGCAGGGTATACTTGGACAGGCCACCAGTCTGTCAGAGGGTTAACTCACAGAGACACAGAAAGCTGAGACTCAAACCCAAGACCTTCTTGCTGTGAGGTAACCGTGTTAACCACCGTTGTGCAGTTAGGAGGGAAGGTGCTGGCTTGTTTTTTTTCTTTAGTGAATAAACTTTAGTTATGTGCTAAAATGGTTCAAAACATGCATGGAAATAATCCACAGAAAGATTATTGTGCTTACTTGGCAGGTTTTATTTTTGAGACCTTAGTTCAAAATCGCAAACATGGTTGATGAAGGTTATAATTAAATTTTTAACTCATAATGCCCAGACAGTCTTCTTGATATTTTTGGATGGAGTTTAAATTATTCAGTGAAGCGCCTAAAAGACTGGACAGCAGGACTGGCAGCACCCCAATCCCCAGGCTTGCGGTATTCTCCCTTCTCCAAGAAGTACTGACGTCCACGGTAGTTGGAGTGCTCGTAGAAAACCCACCAACCATCGAAGACCTTACAGGAGTTGACCTCCCTCCAGCGGAACTTTTCCAGAAGTGAGGGGCAGTCCTCTGTGGCCTCCAGGGCCTGGCCGCCAAAGTCTGCCTTCTCATAAAGCTGCATCTTGTACTGGGTCCCACTGGTCTGGAAAGGGAGGGAGGGAGAAAGGAGGTGAAGATGGAGGTTAGTGCAGGGAAAAGAAAAGGAAAAGGGAGGATACAATGAGATTAGAATTGCATCTAATTGGAAAATTCGTACACTACATGTACACCTAGTTTGAAGTTTGTCAGATACAGTGTGGCAGTTTAGAGAAAAGCTAATCCAAATTATTGATTATTTTTAAAATTGTAGTTCATTAGTTTCATTTGTCTTTGCTTGTGTTTAATGATGCTGTCACCTCTCAGCCGGTCACAGCACATGGCTGTCTCTTCCTAAGCCTGAGGTCTCTTTCTATTGGAAGCACGTTTCTTTTCCCCACAGTCGCCACGTGCTGCTCATAGTGGGATCATCTGACTCTTGGGGTTCACTTTAATATAAAGTTTATTTATTGTGTTGCTAGCTGCAAGTAAAATAACAAACAAGTATCTGAGTGTATAATTTGCCTCTCGATGATCATGGTAAACTAGTCTGTTGAAGGACTGTATACTCGGTATATTTGCCATAATCAGTGAGATACCTTACATTAATCAATCCTTCATTGTTTGCAGTGTGTGTTTGCTCACTGTTTTGTGCCTTTATAAATAGAACCAAACTGTACACACGCATCTACTAACTGCATTGATTTAAAGAGGCTGCAGGCTGCGGGTCAGCTGGACCAAAGCCTGCTCATACAAAGAGACTGATGTCACGCTGGTCTCCATCGACACAGCACTGCAGTAGCATGAACATGACTGGATGTCATCTCACATACTAAATGCTTTTTTGGGATGCCCTGAGCCCGCTGTGCCTTCAGTCTTTTAAGATATTCAAAAATTAGACTCCACACCTGCGGAGAACATTGTGAAGACTTCAGCTCTTTGTCATTGAGCGTGCAGTCTGTGCTCACAGTGCACAGTCAATAACAAATGACAGACAGGCTAAAAAAATGTGCACCTGCAGCAGAGCAGCATGCAGGCAACGCCTGACTTACAAAGTGGATCATCTTGCAGGAACTGAGGTGGTCGTTCAGTCCCATCCAGCGCTGATACTCTGGGTACTCCCCCCTGCTCAAGACATACTGGTAGCCCATGTAGTTTGGTCTCTCGTACACCACCCAGGCTCCACTCTCCACCCGGATGGAGTTGCAGCGGCTCAGGTAGGTGTGAAAATCTGAGCAATCACTGTCGCACTCATAGCGACGGCCCTGGAAGTTCTTGTCCTCGTAGAAGACGATCTGAGGGGGGGAACAGTCTCAGTGCTCGTCCACCTTTCACATTTGCTCTGTTAGGCAGTCTAAAGCCTGGTCCCTGTCTGAAAGCTCAGACATTTTAAAGCAAAGCCACTGTTAACAGCTGCTCAAACAAGCAGCGAGGCTTTAATTTACAACAGAGTATAAGGAAACAACATCTGCAGCAAACCTCTGTACTCTCCCACATGCACTTTTGAACCCGCACATTAAAACTAAACTCTTTGCATTGACTCACCCTGCCCATCTTGGATATATTGTGTGGGATAGCCTTGGTGATGATGAGTGATGGTGATGCTTCCCCCTGAGGTCTTGATGTTGCACTGGCCTTTGAGCAAGTGCCTTTTATATGCACGCTTTCCCACATTTATAAACAGCAACAGTGGAGGCAAAAGGGGAACAATCGCTTTGTCATGAAAATGAGATCCAAAAATTGAGTCAGTGATTCTAGTGCTATTCAGTTTTTCCAGAAAAGCGAGGAAGGATTACGGCATAATGGCCAGGCATGGGTAAGCATCCATTGACCCCACTACTCTACTGGCTGGGTCCAGTGCCCACCGTTACACATGCCAGCTCCACCAGCTTGCTCCCACCTGGCAAGGACCTGCCAACTCATGACTTATTTCTTTTTTGGATGGATCCACATGAAGCAGTGGTGAAAGTATTCACATCTAATAAGTAAAAATGGGAAACACAAATGGAGTGACCTCACTTCAAAATTTCAGTCTGAAAGTGCTGAAATAACAAAAATAAGGAGAAAAAGTGAGTGGTGTTGTAGATGTGAGTATGGAACAAGTACTTAATGTACAATGTAGCGCTGGTTATAATATGCATGTGGCTTTTAATGAAATGTTTACAATTATATACTTTTGCTCTTGATGCTACTTATTTTCTTTAACATTACTCATAATATGTGATTTACTTTTGCAGTATTGTGTTTCTTATGCATCCTATTTTCCAGGATTTTTTAATCAATCCAATAATTTGGACTAAAGTGGATTTGTAAACAATTTAAAAGGTTGGGGTGCCGCATAAATATGAACCCATATTTTATTCATAATAGAACAGAGAAAACATAACAAATGTTTAAACTGATCTCATTTGGAGTTTGATAGATGAGGGCAATGAAAGGCTTTAAAAGTAAGCACTACTAAAAGGAAACAGCTGGAGAAACATTTTACAGCTAATTTGGCTAATTGCCAACAGAAATAAAAAGAGCATGTTAGAGAAGCAGAGGTTCTCTGAAGTAAACACAAACAACTTCAGAATCATGCTCCTCGGTCTAAAATTGTAAGGACTTTGGAAAAACTGGCATGAGCTCAGGAACACTTGCAGAAATCACTGTCTGTGAACACAGTTCACTGCGCCAAATACAGGTCAAAGAAGCCATACGTGAAAAAATGATCCTGAAACAACACCATCGTCTCTGGGCCAAAGCTCCTTTCAAACGGACCGAGGCAAAGTGCAAACTGTTCTGCGGTCAGAGAAATCCAAATCTGAAATTCTTTTTGGAAAGCTCAGATGTCACGTCCTCCGGGCAAAATATAAGAGGCACCACCCAGCTTGTTATCAGCACTCAGTTCAAAAGACTGAATCTCTGATGGTATGTGGTATTGGTGCCTATGGATCTGACTGCTTGCACATCTGGAAAGGCAACATCAAGGTGAAATCCAAAGCAACAAAACCTGTAGCTTTTTCAAAAAACAAAGAATATCTCAGCAAGACCGTGCTAAACTGAATACTGCATCTATCAAAAAACATGACTTTATGGTAGACGAGTCCGGGTGCTGAATTGACTTTCCTGCAGTGCCGACCTTTCAAATGAAAACATTTGGCTCATTGTGAATGAACAATCAGACAAAGAAGGCTCTGGACTATGGAGCAACTAGACTCTTATATCAGAGAAGAACAGGGCAACACTCCTCTCCCAAAACTCCAGCAGCTGCTCTCTTCAATTGATGCTAAAAGAGGCGCTGCAGCACAGTGGTAAACTTGGAACATGCAGCTGCCATCAAATTCAAAATAAGCTTTTTTTTTTTTTCCTGAAAATGCTACATTTAATTGTCTTCTGTGTTGAATAAAAAAAATTGATTTATGAAATCTGCAAGTCTTTGCATTGTGCTCTTATTTACATTTTATACAAAAGTTTCAACTTTTACAGAATTAAAAGTTTACTGTGCGTTCTGTCGTGTAATAAAATTCAGTGGTAAGTGGCTTAACAAACAGGAAATAATGGTGAGGTACAAGGACTGAACTGAAAATGAATGAAAAAGCAGCCAATGTCCAAAGACAATCTTTGAAAGCCTCTCAGAAAGCCTGGAGAACTATTGGCACCAATATATATTTAATATACCACTCTAAAAGTCTGGCTTCTTGGAAATAAAATACAAAGAAATGAAGGTTAGAAGACTTTTGCACATTATTGTAAATATCCAAAGAAACACATAAGATGCGACCCAGTTGTAGTCAAAACCTTTATTTCAGTTTTTAACAATTAAAAATGACTTGGTGCTCTTGCACAGAGCTGTGCATCAAATTAACAGGACCATTTTTTAGTAAACAACAGCATTAAGGCGTTTACAGCATGAATCGGTTCATCCTGAAACTGTTTTAAGCACATATTCCCTTCATTTGCTATTTCCAATACAGTGCTGCCCTGATGATTTCAAGCAGGCCTTCTGTGTATAATTGACATCATATTTTGTATAGAAGTCAAAATTCAGCGTGCCGTAAAGTATATGTGGAAAGAGGAAGCTAACTGCCTGAAGTACACTTGGAGGTATTCACTGCTAACAGTTATTCTAGAGGTAAAGTAGATTTATGAAAAATAATTATTATTCAGTGCTAAAAATCGACATCTTTATTCAAAAATAAATATACATTTAAGTTTTCTTGGAAAACTGGTCACCAGTTTATTAAATCCTGCCTCAGCTGGAACAGCAGAT